CCTATCTTGTTCTAATTGTTTATTACTAAAAAAATTCTTCAGTAAAGGATCTATTATAGACTTATTATGTAATCAAATGTTTCACTTACCTCTGACTATCCTAATACTCTCTTGAGATGAATGATGTAGTTGATGTAACAATTATCGATGTATACGTGTATGCATTAATGTACGCAATTATATTTATACGGTTTATGTTATTATTAACTCGTGTGTAACTACTTTTTTAGTACAATTCTATATCAAATCTACTCAAGGTGAAATCTAAGTTTATTATAACTCTGTTTTTTGTAAAACCCTTTTGTATATTTGTGTAGTATAGTCTTTAACCGTGTATATGGTGTTTTACTTTAATATATTTATTATTTAATAATTTATAAAGCAAATAAAGAAATTCAAATAACATAACTGTCCTGTGCAACAAACTATTTCCAAGTGGCCTACGTCTTTTCAGTCGTCCAAAGAGTGATCTAGGGTAGATGCGAGCTCAATTTCGGTTCTTTGCACAATAGATTATACTAGTGTCCTACACTCCGATTGCTCGCACTGTGGCTGAGATCAGACTAGCTAATCGATAAGTGGAGAGACACTTTTTAGTTGTTTATTTGATTAGTATAATATTTGTACTCTGATTTATTTGTATTTCGTAGCTGGATATACCAACGCGAGATCTCAAATAATATCTTTGTCTTTATGCAAAGACCCTTATGATATGTGGCCTACTTCTTTTAAATCACCTGTAGGACGACCTAGGTTAGATGCGACTGTACTATAGATTTATGCACGATAAGTTATGTTAGTGTCCTACACTCCGATGGCCCTTATTGTACTAGTACCCTGTCCAGCCAATTTGTGACCCTTCAATAAGTAATAGATACAATTCAATCAAATCAAGTACCTTAGAATGTCTAATGTATATTACGAAATAATATTAATAAGTAATGTGTTATAAATTATATAAGTGTCCTACACTCCTATTGACCGCACTGTGGCAGAGATCAGAATAGCTAGTCGATAAGTGGAGAGACACTTTAGAGAACGCTTATAATTAGTTGGAGTATAACTATGATATTATTGTGCTAGTACTCTGCCCAGCCAGGATGTGGCGCTTCAATAAGTAATAGAACACTGTCGTAATATGCACAATGTTCTGCATTACGCATCTTACATTATCAATAAAAAGTTATTACTCTATATTTAATACCAATTGTATACAACACAAATAATTAATTTATCTGTCATAACATATACACATTTGTACACTAGCTATTATATATGTATATGCATGTTAAATTGATTATTTNGTATATACATGTTAAATTGATTATTGTATACTATGCATCTTATCTTAAAAATAATTATCATGTTATGTTCAAATTTTACACAATAAACTGAAAATCACTAAAAGCGCTGACGGCAACAACCCATGATGGGGGCAATTAAAAGTAATATAAAAAGGCGCTGATTTTCTAAGAGAGCAGAATTCTCTCTTCCTTTTGAAGACCTGAATTCAATAAGGAATTCAGAATTCTTCTATTTGATTTATTTTTGAACAAACTAGCCGCGACCCCGTGTTGTCGTCGGTACATTTTAAAGCGATATTGAATACAATTATTTTGCGTTAACACTTTATTTATTTAAAAGAGACAGTATAAATATTTACGCAAACCTTGACGATCTTTGTACAAGCCAAATAAAAAAGTAAGTAAATTTATGTTAACCCAATTATTTAGAATTAATAATCTGAGTAAAGAATAATAAAGCAATAGATCATATATTCATATTTATATTCAAATTTTATTAATTGTTACTGACTAGTTCGTACCTTATACATAATCACATTACATGGTATTCGTGAGATGGCCACCGCCACTTCGTTGCCTCAGTGTATTATTTCAGGTACTTACCAGTTAGGTAATTTGTAATATCTCTATNAAGAAACAGAACTAGCCAAGAGGTATACTTCTATGTTAATAAAATTTGATAAAGTAAAGACATTTATCATAAATATACTAAAATTAATTTTTATTTAATAGTTTGATTTTGATAATTTTGTAAATTGCCCTAAAAAAGCTATTGAGTCAATTGACCGAAATATTCCATTGAATGGTATAGATAAAACAAACAGAGAAATTTCACATTCACCATATATGACACCAAAGAATAATCATGTTATTTTTGATAGAAAACAGTAAGCATATAATAATTTACTTTTTTAAACATTGAAAATATTTTTTATATTAATATGTACAGGAAACCATAAAATTAGTTCATCCATAAATTAACTATTATGGTAATAATTTGACTTGTAATATAATAAATTTTTTATTAAGTTATACAGAAGCTTCCTTACTGAATAGTAAAATTTTGATTTTTGTGTTGGTATTTGGTTCTAAAAAAAATATATTAAAAATGTGAAACACCATCAACATCATCTGTTAAGGTGTATAACATTGGAGAAAAAAATTACAAAATATTTATTTTTATTAAAAAATTACCAAAATAACTATTTAATTTAAGAAAGTTTATTTGCATAATAAAATTATTAGCTTTGGGCGAGGGTTTATAACATAAAAATAATTAACATTTTAACTATATGAAATTTTAATATTTTAATAGAGTTCAGTATTTTCCCAGTATTTAATAACTATTTTAACATATATTTAGTAACATATAATTATAAAATAAGTTGCCTTATTTTTAACCAAGAAAAATAGATTTTTAATGATTCATAAACATTTATTTATTAGATTTATCAAAATTTTAAAGTTACTATTGCTATGATTTTTATTTTTAATGAATAAAATAGTTGTTTATAAAACTTAAAAAAGAGGTACAAAAATAAAACTCTAAAATATCTATTATTCGTTAAAAATAAATTTTTGATTTTTACAGTTGTTATTTTTATATTTTTAGTAGAATATTAATCTGTATGAATTGTGAATAGATCTAATTTGGAAGCAGATTTTGACAATAATGAGCAATTTTTGAGTTCCTAATTAATAATTATGCGTGATTAAGTATTAATATGTATTCTGTTTTCATTTTAGAAATAAGAGACAAAGTGATACTGATGTTAATAGTCATCATTCATATAAAAAACCTAAGACCCGCAATAATGAAATTTTGAGTTCATATAGTTCAAGCAAATTTCTTCAGTCATCAAGTATGAAAAAAACATATCCTATTGGTTAGTTTACTAAAATTATTTTAATATTTAAGTTAATAAAAAGTTTTTTGTATAAATTTCTTTATTGTTTTTAGACCCAGAGGGTGATGATTCTCCTTGCCGAAAATATTGTAAAAGTTGTACTTGTTTTGCTTCAACAGTATTATTAACCGATGACAATAATAAGTCAATTAAAATTGACAAATCTACAGAAACTGATTTAGCTGGAGATCTTGTAATAGTTGCACCTAGTAGAATATTCAATAGAAGTGGAAAAACACAAGTTTTTAAAAGAATTAGTATAAAAAGTGTATTAGATGAATTATTTGATGAGCCAGAACCTACACCTTTCACAAGTATTGAGAAAATAGAACAAAAAAAGAATAATGCTGTTAAAGAGGGTATTTTTTTTTATGCATTTTTAATAACAGTAAGTTATAAATAAGAGTAAAATTCTGTAATTATTTTTGTACAAGCTTTGGTAACATGGTGAGCGGAAAAAATTTAGTAGAAATGAATGATAGAAGAAACAATACTTGATTTTCAGATGCTCTATTTTAAATTTTAATTAGAATTCAATAAAATAATTATTAACACATAACTTTCACAATGGTTACATAGATTTACGATTTACTTATTAACAGGTGGTTTGCAAAACTTTGGCTCTGACATATCGTTGTTCTGACTTGCACTCTGCCATTTTCAAACTGTCTTGTCACGGTAGTGGAATGGGTTGAGTCAACAAATTTCATTATATTATAGGCCAACACTAATATTCTGATGCTCTTAATATTAACAAAATTATTAACAAATGTAAAAAAACAATAATGTAGTAATTCATGGGTTTGTACAAATTTTTAAAATATTAATCTACAAAATGCTTTTAAAAATATATGATTATACAACAACTACTTGAAATAAAATAAATAAAATTTAAAAACTATTATAGTATATGTAATACCTTTAAATTTTTAATATTATATTAATTTTAATGCTACATTTTCATCAGGTACATCCACCAATGAAAAACATAGTGAATTAAGCATTAAGTTTACACAATCACCAACAAATTCATCAATTATTTCACTAACAGTTGGATCTTTTGAAAAAACAAGTAATACAGTTATCCTCAAAACAACTTCACAATTTAATTTTGGTAGTACAACAATGTCATCTGCTGAAAAATTAAAATCACTGAGTGAAGTGGATGGTGTAATAGATAGTGGTCAGTCAACATTATCACCTAATAAAGAAATTGAAAACCAGAAATCTGAGCTGTGTGGAACAACAAGAAAAATCATCCTCTGAATGTAGTAAAGTTATTGAGAGTACTTTAAATAGTACATCAAATGATATAATTTCAAAAGAGTCAACTGAAAGCTCAGTTAAAACTCCTTTCCAGTTTTCTGCATTACCTTCTAAATCTATTGATTCCAACTCAAGCTTAAAAAGTGATGCAGAGTGTATTAAGAATGTGAATAAACCTGAAACTATTCATTCAATACAATTTGGTAATAAAGAGTCTTCCGAAAAAAATACAAAAGAAGATAGTGCTGTAGCTTTTAATACAGTTATTAAAAGCTAGTATTTATATTACAGTTAATATAAATACTTCAAAACTACCTGCTTTTACATTTAAAGGTAATGAAAAACAGCCAATGTCCGTTTTACAATTTGGTACAGAAAAAAGTGAAAACAAACAA